CGCCAAGCTTATTGTTGGTGATTGTCAAGTTTTGCTTGAGGTCAATTCGGAGACCTGACCAGCATTGTAGGCGTGCTCTTCCATCATCATGCCAGAGATGGTCTTCCCAGTATCATCCACGTAGACATCGCCGTGAACGAACCACAAGATAGGCAGGATGCTCAGAATGAAGAGAAGCTTCATACGAACTTAAGGACAAGCACGTAATGTCCTGAACCCTTGAAAAATACAGACAATGTCAGCATAACATCGCCAGGTTGCTCGAGTTGTCTTCCACATTGTGCGACCTAGACAAATTTTGCGCACACAGAGGAATCTGTCCTCACTTCACTGATCAATATGTGAACGTCACTCCTAAGCATTATGTCAGGAACTATCGAGATATTGTGCAACTCGACACTTGTAGCCGATGTGACGTGAAAGAAAGAATAGTTTTTTTGGGCGGTTGGTCTGGTTTTATTGTCCTGCGGGAAGATCGATCAATTCACGTGTGCAGGCCAACTTGCACGCAACCCGTCGCCTTCTGCCGGTCTGTGCGTCACCTTCATGCACAAATCACAGCAACCTGACGAAGTGGTCTTCCTTCCCAGATGACTCAGCAAAAGGAAATTGATTTGTCCCAGAAGTAGCGGATGATAATATCAGATAACCGTGCCATCTATGGATGTAAAAGAGCCTGCATAGAGAGCATGAGGAGACATTGTCTCCGAGACAATGATATACACGACACGGGTTGGGTTTTGTACCAGAGATTCGGTGGAAAGAGCCCAACTGCCTCCATTATGGGCATGTAAGACGAAGATTACTCTCCAGGGAGTGCCTGGCAGGCACGGACTATCACACAACATGCACGCATCATGCGTGCGTGACGCACGCTCTACAATCAAGTGCGCCTAAAAATGTGGGCACGCATGCACAGAGCAACAGTTTAGCCGAGTGGTCTAAGGCGCTGGCTTAAGGCGCCAGTCTGAAAGGGCGGTTCAAACCATACAGCTGTCATGTTGCCCTTTGCTCATTGTTCAATATACGACATTTTTCGTGATTGAATTTTTCAGACCATCTGCAAATATGCCGTGGACCAACTCGAGTTAAGTCTGGCAACTCTGCTCGACCCAGCTTGTACTCCAAACTCTTACCATCACCCGCTTCAAGGGCATCAGATTCAGAATCGAATTTTCGAGGCTCCTAAACATTGTCGAACAACTGCTTAGAACAAATCCAGACCAGCTCGAGCTGCTATCCAGTCCACAGCTCTAAGCTGTGAACCAAACGATGCAAAGTTGTTGCTGTGTGCGACTAAAGTTAGCAACACCTTGTCGTCTTACAGTTCTTAGTATTAGCTATAGCACGCATGCTCTAGGTGTAGTCGAAGTGGGCACTTCAAGTTCTTTCCCCATTGTCATCGTCAATACCATCAATAAGACGACGTTGTTGGGTTAATTATGAGATCGACCAGGAGCAACAAAGTGATATTTTCGGTATCTTCAATTTCCGAGAGTTCGAAAGTCAACTTTGAGTAACATCGACTTGATAACAACGTGGATCGACTGACACCAACGCTTTCCGTAGTCTATAGTCGTATTACCCTCAAATTGGAGAAAGCCATCTCGAAAATCTAAATATGCATAACTGTTTGGTTCGCAGTTTAAAGAGTGCCTAGTTTCTTAGGATTCCTGAACTTGATTTGCCCGAATGCTCAGGGTTTCCAAACGCATCACACGTCCTCCCACATGCGAAGTTCCTTACCGAACACATATTGCAATTTTAAAA